TGTGCTGGGAGAGGAGAGAGCTCTGAAGCCCTGGTGTTCCCGCCTCGGGACAGACAGTGACGCTGTCTAGTTGGTGTAAGGGCGTGATAGTCCCACACTGAGGCCTCTCGTCCGTGGAGAACAATCAGATGACGGGTTTTTGGCGTCCTCATCTGGACTACTTTTCTCTAGGAGTGAACCAGTGCAGTGAAAAGTTTGTAAATATCGGATAGAGTAGAACCGTTTTGAGGCCGGCCTCCCTAGCTCCGGGCCGGCTTCTGAGCCGAAATGGCTGATGGAATTTGGGCTGTGGAAGGAGCTTGCTCTCAACATCTCGGTTCGAAGTTGTTCCCCGGCCCCTTTCTTCATGATGCAGCGTAGAGAGAGGCTTGCCTTCGGGGCAGTGGTGACGGGAAAGCCGCCCGCGTGATGTGAATCTGTTCTGTTCAGGCAGAGCCGGGGCCGTAGCATCGGCAGCGTCGGAGAAGGTTCGCACCAGGCTGGAGGAGCTGGACGACTTCGAGGAGGTGAGAATGTCGCCCGCCGAGCCCCCGGGAGCCTGCCTCGGGCCGGTTTTCCAAAGGCATCTTTTCTCACTGACGCCTGAGCAAGCTTGGGTCGTGTGAGGATGGGCTCACTGGACACGCCAGCTGGAGCCATGTCCCCGGGACACGTGAGATCAAGGCCCCAGCCTGCTCCCTGCTGCAGAGGCTGCACACGGCCGCTGCTGGCTGGACAGGGCCCTCAGGACTCTTAATTGGCCTGCATGTGCTTGCAAAAAGCATGACTCACTCGCCAACTCTTAAAAAATGGTAAATTCAACACACACAGCCGGATCTCTGGCTTCTCTCGAATCCCGTGTGACAGTCATGGGCCCACACTCCCGCAGGTGCCCAGGGCAGGCACTGTCGGGGTTGTGCAGTCCTCCCTGTCCCCACCCACTCGTGAACGTGAGGGGTAGACTGGCCCTTGGAGACGGGTGGATTCGTGTTCTCCACGGTATCGTTAGGTGGCCCAGCGTGGCACTTAAGAGGACACTGGAGCCAGACTGCCTGGCTCTACCATTTGGTCATTCTGCGATTTGGGGCAAGGTGCTTACCAGCTCTGTGCCTCAGTTTACATATCTGTAAAATGGGGATGCTACACAGTACCGGCCTCTTAGATTTGTTATAGGGATTAAGTGCGTTGACGCACAGGAAGAGCTGAGGCCAGCACACGGTCCGTGCCTGCGGGTGTTAGCTGTCACCACCGTCACCCTGTGTCCAGGGGCCTGAGCGTGACCGTGTACCACACGGTGCCCTTGGGCAGGCACCTCTCCTGTTCCCGTTTCCTCATCTGTAGGGCGGGGGTGGAGGGTGTAGTTGTGTGGGCCCGATGGGGCTGCTCTGAAGTCACTGTTGCTGTGCTGTACCTGCCCTCGGCTCAGGGCCTTCTGGCTCCGAGCCAGAGTCGTCGGGGCCTCAGCAGAGTCTAATCGTCCAGGGTCTGATTTCCCAGTTGAGACAGGACGCGTTTTGAAGTAGGGCGCCCAAGAGCCGCCGTCTTAATATTTCTGAGGCAGCTTGGCTGGTAGGCGGGGAGCTGCTGAGGGTTTTAAAGCTCTTTAGTCTGTGAGTCTCAGAAAGTCGCTTGAGCTGGCTTCGGTTGGAAATGGGGACTTGCTCGAAGGACACGGGCTCTTCCCTGAGCCCAAGGACACAGTGGCCCGGAGCTGGGAGCTGGAGAAACTCCCGGAGACCTGGCCGCTGTCCCGTGTGCCCTCCCGGCTCTGGTTCTTTTTCCCGTTCTCCGTGTCTTCCCCTGCAGACTGGCCCCCTTGCTCGCAGCGGAAGTGGCGGCTGCATGGCCCCAGCTGCCACAGCGTTAGTCAGGGTAAGGCTGGGCCGTGCTGTGGTAACGAATGACCCCCATGCCTCAGCGGCTGAATATAGCGAAGGTTTCTTTCTTTCTCACGTTATTCATCCACTGTAGGTGACAGACACACCTCCACCTCATGGCGCTGCCATCTCACCAGATGGCTTCCAGGGTTGTCACAGCAGAGCTGAGGAAAGGGCCAGTTTTCAGCCTCAGCTCGGAAGAGACACATTCCCTCTGCTCACAGCCCGTCCTCCCAGACTAGTCACGTGGCTCCTGGCACTGCTCAGGGCAGGGAGGGCCCTGTCTCCCAGCTCAAGGGACTTGCTGGGAGCAGTCCCGTTTCCTGCACCTTCCGCTTGTATTTTTCTTTCTTTTTTTTTTAGGTGAGGCAACCAACCCTTGGTTGACCTCACAGATTGCAAGGACCTTGTCAACTACAATCCCTTATTTTTTATTTTTTATTTTTTATGCCTACAGCACCTGGTCTTCCTAGGTGGTCTCCCATCCGAGTACTAACCAGGCCCGACCCTGCTTAGCTTCCGAGATCAGACGAGATCGGGCTTGTTCAGGGTGGCGTGGCCATGGACCTCTCGTGTTTCTTTGATAAAGAAGTCTTCACGTTGGCTTCCAGGGGACGTTCGTACGAAGAAGCCGTGGTCCCTGGTCTCCTCGTGGGCTGGGTGAGGGCGTGTAGCAGTAGCCCGGTGAGCGAGCACGCGTGTGTGCCAGGCGGTGCCAAGCTTTCACACTGCACCCCCGCACCTGTGTGCTGGTCTGGCTCTCTGCCACGGCCGTTTGTTCCCGTCTACTCTCCGCTGGAATTCTCTCTTTCTGGTCCGGTTACCGCCCCCACCCCTCCCCATGGCCCACTTGACACCCGTGCCCTTCAGTGCATCTCAGGCATTGCTTCCCCTAGTCTAGTGCCCATTCCTCGTTCCCATATTCCTTCCTTCCTAAGATGAGCCTTTCCCCCACGTTTGAACATCGCTGTTGTCTGGTCTACCAGGCCTGGCGCACGGAGGGCCCCGATTACGGTTGGTGGTCCCTGTTCACATGTGAGGCTCTGGGAGCAAAGCAGCTCGCCCAGAATCACGTGGGAGCGGCCGGGCTGGGAGCCAGCGTTCAGGCCGTCTCTAAGTCACTGTGCTCTGCCTGTCTTTGCAGAAAGCTCGAGGAATCTCTTTGATCACAAGACAAAACTATATCAGTCTTGGTCGTGGTTCCATAGTGTAGCGGTCAGCACATCTACTATACATGCTGAAGGTCCTGAGTTCACGCCCCAGTGGAGCCACGGTCCATGGTCTACGGCCATGCCACCCTGAACAAGCCCGATGTCTGATCTCAGAAGCTAAGCAGGGTCGGGCCCGGTTAGTACTTGGATGGGAGACCACCTAGGAAGACCAGGTGCTGTAGGCGTAAAAAATAAAAATAAAATAAAAAACTGTCAGTCCTGGCGGGGAAATCAGGAAACCTTAGAGAGCGGAGCTCAGCCACCTCCCAGGGTCAGACCGGTTTCCTTCCAGCCGACACCTTGTCCCCTCCGCCCGCCCATAAGGATCTGCCGATCCTGACTCAGCAGGATTACATGACCCGCGTCGTCGAGGAGCTCCAGTCGCTGAAGGACGCCTGGGCCTCGGACCAGAAAGTGAAGGCTCTGAAAATCGTCATCCAGGTCAGGCCTAGTGACTTTGTTTTTCCCCTTCAGAATTTCCCGTGTAGAGCTCCTCTGTGGTCGGCCAGTTTTCAGAGGCCCGCCTCCAGGCTCTGCCATGCTACTTTCGTCTGTTCTGTTTTCACTCGCTTCCTGTGAGGGCCATGACTGTGGGGCTGTGTTTTTATGACGTGGCTAGTCCCGAGGCCACCTCGTGCAGTGACGGGATCGGCAGTGTCCCCCGTGTCACGTCGTGCCGCGCCTCGTCCCCGGCTCGTTCGCGGCGGTGCAGGCTCAGGACCGACCAGCCGCGTTTGGGTTTGCTCCACCAGGTTTCCTCCGTCTCTTCGGAACTAATGGTCGTGTGTCCCTGTTACGTGCATTTTGGGTCATCTTCTGCATAATCATGTGACCAAAAATCCCCACGTTTACGGTGTTAGGGGAGGTACTTTCATTGAATCCCCTTTGTTGGTCCGTGACAATTCTTGCATCGCAAGAGCAAGCTGTGGAAGGAAGACGGCTCGTTCTGTTTCTCGAGCCCCGGGGACCGTCCCGTCTTGGCCAAACACGTCCTGAGACGCACTGTAAGAAGAACGTCCACATCCTGATTTTCAGAGCAGAGTCAACAAGGCGTATCCCAACAGCCATTTTAGTTCAAAAGGACGGATTCTGTCCTCGTCCGGTGTCATGGCAACGTGACACTTGTTTGCTCACCTGCTGCTCTAGAGTGGGGGTCTGGGGAGTCTGGGAGGCTTTGTGCCGGGCACTCGAAGTCTTTCACGGTGACACTTGGTGTGGTGGGTGTGATGTTTTTTTTGGCATTTCCTGAGCGAGGCAAACCCGCGCCCGCCCCCCTTCGGTCCCTGGTGTTAATTTACAGAGTAAATACCCCTGCAGAGGAACTATATTTTACTTATCCATTAAAAGTAAGGTAAGGGACACGTAGGCTGTGTCCACTCCGACTGCTGTGAGTCATGCTGCTGGGAGCGTTCGCACTCAGGTCTTTGTGTGGATGTGTTTTCATTTCCCAGGTCGGTTCCTAGGTGTGGAGTTGCTAGGTCATGTGGTCAGTGTGTGGTTAACTTTTTCAGAACTGGCCGACCTGCTTCCCACAGTGGCCACAGCGTTTGCTTCTCCGCCAGCCATGCACAGAGGTCAGGTTCTTGGACACCTGTTCCCGCGGGAGCTGTTGTCTGCCCGTCGGATCATAGCCATCCCAAGGGGTTTGAAGAGGGTGCCTCGCTGTAGTTTTAATTTGCATTTCCCTAGGGACCGATGATGCTTAGCAGCTTTTTGTGTGCTTGTTGGCCATTTTTCTATCTTCTTTAGTGAAACGTCGAGTCTAGACTTGCCCGTTTCAAGCATCAGGTCAATTTCTCATTCAGCTGTAACAATTCTTTATCCTTGGTACGAGTTCTTTACCAAATATACGATCTGCCAGTATTTTTTTCTAGCCAGTATTTTTTCCTTTTCGTAATGGTGCCTTTGAAGTTTAGAAGTTTTAAATTTAATGGAACCTAATTTATGTATTGTCTCTTTTTTCGTCTCATGCTTTTGGAGTTGTGTCTAAGAACTCTGCCTAATCTAGGATCGCGAGAATCTTTTCCTGTGTTTTCTTCTTGAAGTTTTATAGTTTTAGCTCTTACATCTGGGTCTGTGGTCCATTTTGAATTAATTTTTATGTAAGATGTATAAGGTCCGAGGTTTTTTTGTTTATTTTTTGCATGTGGATATTCAGTTGTCTAAGCATTTGTTGGAAAGACTGTCTTTTCCCTGTGGAATTATCTTGGTGCTTCTGTCAAAGTCAGCTGACCAGAGATGTCAGAGTTTATTTCTAGACTCGGGTTTATCCCACAGATCCGTCATCCTACCTTACGCCAGCACCACACTGTCCTGGCCATTGTAGCTTTCTGCTGGTTAGTGTAAGTCTTTTAACTTTGTTTTTATTTTCCAAAATCGTTTTGGCAATTTTGGGTCGTTTGCATTTCCATATGATTTTTAGGCTCAGCTTGGCAATTTCTCACCTCCAAACCCTCAAAAAAAAAAACAAAAGAAAGAAAACCTTCTGGGCCTTTGATAGGGCTTGTGTTGACCCTAACGGTTGGTCAGTTAGAGGGGTTTGTCGTCCTAACAGCAGAGTCTGCTGATGCATAAATTGTGTGTCGCTCGCTCTGTTGACGGGCCTCTGGTTCCTTCTCTTCTTCCATCGTTATGAACGGCATTGCTGCGACCACCCTTGGACGCGTCTGCTGGCCTTTCTCTGGACGAAGGCCCCTACCCTGGGAGTGGGGGGGCCTGGTGAAGGGCGCGTGGCTCTCCAGCTCTGCTGGACTGTGCTCGTTTCCACAGTGGCCGTGCCGGCCGCCACGCTGGTGGCAGCAGAGTGGGGACGAGTCTGTGCCGTCGTGACGCTTCCCAGCGTTCGGTGTGAGCAGACTTTCTCTCTTCGTTGTTCCGATTTAGAAAGTGATAAAATCCTACTTCATTGTGGCTTTAATTCGCAATTCCTCAATTCTAATAGGATTAAGCATCTTTTCACTTGTTTATTGGACATTGGCTATTTTTTTTTTTCCTGTAAAATGCCTTATGTCACCTTCCTTTGCTCATTTTTTTCATTGTTGTTTGTATTTTTCTTACTGATTTTTAGGATCTTTTTTTATATATTCCGGGTCGCAATTGTCCTCTGATTACCAAGTCTGCATCTTTCTTTCCGTTCATCTACCCATTCGTCCTTTCTTAGTTTTCAGCCGTACGTTATCTTTTATCCATTTGCTTTGGTTGTTCAATTTTTTAAAAAAAACCCTAACTTAATTAGAAACTGCTAGCGTCTTTCTAGAATATTGCTGATTGGAAATAAGTGAAAAACACCCTGTTGGTATTTTTCCTACAGTGTTAATGAGTTTGATAGCGAGTATTTGAGGCAGAGTAATTTGTCAGTCAGGCATCCAGGAAACATTTATTATGGTGAGTCCCAGCCCCGGCTGCGTGTTGGGGTCGCGTAAAGTCCCCAGTCCCAGCTGCACCCAGACCAGCGTCATCCGGGTCTTTGGGGACGGGGCCTGGCACCATTATTTTTAAAAGCCCCCCAGGTCCCAAAGCTGAGAACACTGGTTTGTTGAGGGCACAGGCCGTTCAGAGTCTGCTGCTAATTGTGGATGTCACAAACCTGGTGTGTCCCCTGCCCGGTTCAGTGAAAGCCGCCTGAAGCCTTGGCTGAAGGACTTGCCCAGCCCGCCAGTGTGGTGTGGGGCAGAGAATCTGCATTTTTAACACTCACACCCTGGGCGCCTGATTCTGATGTAGGAAACCGTACCAAAGCTTTGAAAACCTGGGGAATCTTCAGAATCGTGATTTAAAAAGTAATCTCAATTCATAACATTATTACGACTTGAAGGTCCGCTTCCTGTCATCCTCCATAAAACACATGTTCTGTGACAGCGGCCGGGGCAGAGTCGGCACACAGATGTTGGGATGCCTCAGCTGTGTTTAAGTCTGAATTTTCTCTTCCTCACCTCACCAGTGGGCCGTGGACGTGACACCCCAGGAACCGAGAGCCGTGTCCTGTCAACAGCCTCTGAGGTTCAGAGCTGCCTGCCTTCTCCAGGCCCTGACATCTCACGGGGTCCTTGTTTAAGTCGGGGCACTCATACAGGGCGTCACGGAGCCGGAAATGGAGTTGTGCGCGTGCAAACGCCACGTTTGGTGTCCCAGCCGCTGTTCTAACAGCTCACGTTTCCGCCCCTCCCCCCATGAGCTGTCAGAGGATGTTCACAGATGAGACACGTTTACTTCTAGGCGTGTAACGCTGGGGAGAAACTCGGAGAAGCTAACAGTTTAGATGTTGGGTAACAAGCAGAAAACAGATGTCGCCCCACCTCCTGATTGGACGAACATTAGAACTGTTCTCAGCGCGTCAGGAAAATGTGTCTTAAAGGCCCCTTTCTAAGTGTCCACATAGTTTCTAAGTGACGTTTTCTGTCTGAGGGTCAGCTGTCGGAGTGATAAAATGCAGCAGGGTTGTTTAGTTCTTTCTGCTGACTTTTGAATTTGTAAAGACTTCGGGGTGTTACATTTAGTTCTTCAAAGTAGAAGTGAGGTTTTTGTTTCTGTTTATAAATGATGACTTAATCTGGGGTGTTTAAGCCCGAGTCGTATGGCCCCAGTCTTTCGTTGAGTCACGGACATGTTGACGGCCCTCCCAAGAAACCCTGGAGACTTCTTACGGGGTCATCATTTCATAGAAAAGAATGTTTAAGCATCGGGACCATCCTGAAATAAACCGAGGTAGCCGTGCTGAGAAGCCGTCGGAGCAAAGACGGAGTCGTCTGCAAGGGCACTGGGGGGAACGGCGTCTTTGACTCCCCTGGGCGACCTTGAACGCTGACCCTGCCCAGTGTGTGAGCTGAGGCCCTTCTGGGTGTGGTCCCTTAGCCCTGGGGCTTTCCTGCAGGAAGCTGCTAATAACAGCCTCTCCTTAAGAGACTGTCCTGAGCAGAGTCCGCTCCCTTTGTCAGAAGCAGGGGGTTTCACTTATCATTGTATCTCCAGTGTCCAGCACAGGTCCTGACACACAGCTGACACCCGCACCTGTTTGTAAGTCGTTAATTTTCTAGGCCCAGAGCGTTCCAGCCAAGTGGGAGCTGACAGAGAACTCTCTATTTTTTCCCTAGTGTTCAAAGCTTCTTTCGGATACGAGCGTTATTCAGTTCTACCCGAGCAAATTTGTCCTCATCACTGACATACTCGATACGTTCGGTAAGTACTAGTTGTATTCGTCTTAGATCCAGGAAACGTGTTTGTTCGTTTAGATCCAGGAAATGTGGCGGGTGGCAGAGTTGCTTTAAATTAGGTTCTGTTTCGGTTTAAGTAATTAGGTAAATAGGACTGTAATTTTTATCCCCTGAATGTGATGACATTGTCTAAAAAGCATACACAGAATAAATAAAGTTTCTTGTGCTAGGTGAGGGGTTGGCTGTAGACCAAGTCCAGACTGCCCATTTGTTTTTGTAAATAAATTTTATTGGAACACAGGCACACCTCCTTGTTTGCATACTGTCTATGGCTGCTTTTGAGCTACAGCTGCAGACTTGAGAAGTGGTAGCACTGACCTGTGACCCACCCAACCTAACATTTGTTCATCTGTGCATCTGACCAGCACTGAGCATCCACGATATGCCCATGGTCAAGGAACTGGGGAGATGTCAGCGTGCAAAACAGCCCCGAGTCTGTTCCCTTGCACAACCCGCATTGCTTCTGGGCCCTGGATGCGTGAAGCAGGCTGCTGATGAGACATGGTAGGGAGTGGTGGAGGCCGTAGCAAACTGGGCAGTCCGTATGCCATTCCGGGCAGCTAATAATCTGTTCGAGCCCATTTTTAATCCTAGAGAGATAAGGGCCCATTTTTGGTATATCGCATAGAAAGAAGCAAGAAATTTGGGTTTTCACGTGAATTCTCCCAATTATTACGAGTCGGCAGCTATGTCAAAAAATGTTAAAACACTTTGTGGGCTGTCACGTGGTGAACCAGACAGAATGGATCACAGCTGGATTCAGCCCACGGGCCCCCCGTTTGCAGCCTCTCGTCTAGAAGGGGACGTGGGCCGTTCTCCGTTGAGCCAATGGAGGTGCCTGAGGCTCCTCTGACCCTAAGTGTCACTTACAACTTTAAGAGGAGAGCGATCACTTACCTGCCTCTCTCGGAAAGTAGAAGTCCCTTTTATTAAAAACGAAAACAAAGAAACGTGGCTCCCAACCCGCCCCACTAGGTGGCAGCAGGTCACCGCACGTTGAAGTTTGAAGGGCGGATGTGGCGTTCATTCCGCGTGTGCTCCCGCGAGGGGGACACTAACGCACGTGTCCTTTTCTCCGCAGGGAAGCTGGTGTACGAGCGCATCTTCTCCATGTGTGTGGATCACCGCAGCGCGTTGCCAGGTAACATCATGATCCCCGGGGTTTCATCCTGCCCCAGTCAGGACGAGGTGCATGCCAAGCCAGCGTTCACTGAGACCCCATAGTTCTTTTAAGAAATTTTTGGTGTGTTAAACATAAAAGAAACACCTTTACAGATTTCTGACCATCTTGGTCTTCTAAAAACATTAGAAGGTTTTCATACAGCCCGGCTAGGAATTCGGGCAATAATTCGAATGTGCCAGAATGAAAAGGTATTATATTACAGTTACTTTCACACCAACTTAAATCCCTCTGCTGCTTGACATTATAATATCTCTCCTGAGAAGCAAATTGCTTTTAAAAACTAACTTTATATGTAAAAGGAGACTGTCAAGCAAATCAATAACAGATGCTTTGACTATGCAGTCTTTGCCCAAGTGATGTTTGCATTAAATTTATTGCCAATCAATTTTAAATTCTCAAGAGGTCATAATGGTGGTAGATCATGAATTTCTTTTGTCATATAAACGGCGATAATGTGTCTGGCAACGGGGAACTCGCAGCAGCGGCTTCCTCTTCCTCCTGTCCTCCCCCCGCCCCCGGGTCCTAGTGCTGTTCCCCGTAAACGTTCTCACCCTACGAGTTAGAATAATGGGCTTGCGCCCCTTCACTTTGCCGCCTCCCGCCCCGACCGGATGGTGGCATCAACGATAACCCATAATTTGACCTTCCTCCCTCCCCTTCCTCTTTCCTTCCTTCTGTCCATCCGTTTATCTTCATACCCGTATGTTAAGAACTCTGTAATATACTTATTAGAAAGAGACAGAATCCTATAGACCCTTAGGGCTAGAAGGAGCCATCTCGTCTCATTGTGGACGAGAAACCCAGCGTGAAGCGGCCTGGGACTTGCCCGTGGCCTTGCTGCCCGCTCGCGAGAGCCTCGCCCTTAGCACTGGCCCCGAACTGTCCATCACAGCAGCCAGTCCAAACTGAGATGTGCTGTGAGTATTAAAAAAGTACAGTGGATTTCGGAGACTTAATACCAACCAAAGACCATAAAGTATCTCACTAATGATTTTTTAAAATTTCGATTATGTGTCGCAATGATAGTTCGGATGAATTGGGTTAAACGAGAAGTCTGTTATTAAAGTTTCACCTGTGTCGTTGGCCTTTCTGGATGTGGCCCGCATGGCGTTCCTGTTGGACGGCACCTCTCCCCACCGCATCACGCCTGTGATGCTTCAACAGCTCCTCCTGTGTTCCGAGTGTCGCGAGATCGAGGGGCAGTGAGCGCCGGAAGGCACACGGGTCCCACCTGACTCGAAAGGCCTTCTCTGTCCCCTTAAGGATTTGGGAAATCCAGGCACATTTATATTGCACTTGCCAACCTGTTCTCCATGTGCTCTACCTGCAGCAGCGAAGTAAACGCAAATAGGTGTTTTCCACGGCTACAGCAGTGTTTTCAAAAATGCTTTTTGTTACAGGTTCTATTGTTTCCTATTGTTGCGTATCTAACCGTTTAAAAATATTCATATTACCTGCCTGGCCCCCAGAGGCATTCGCGTTTGCGTCTACTATAATAATTTTCTTTCCTCCCAGTTTTTATTAACTGTACAAACAGCATTCTAGAGCCAAGTAAGGAAAACGTTACTAATAACTTACTCCCTTACGTGAACTATAAAAGTACAAGATACAAGGCCATTTTCATCTTCACTTGCAGTCCTTAATTAGCACTTTTATCACTAAAATCTTCCTTCCCAAAATACCTATTTTTTTTTTTTTTTTTACCTTGAGCAGGGCAGATCAGGCTTTCATTTTATTAAAAACAACTTCTTCATTCTTTTCCCCCTTTCAGTTAAAATCTTCATCTGCATGCATTTTCTGGTTCCAAGAACCCGAGAGGAAGAGGGGCACACCTTTCTCAAAACCGTCAGTGGTCTTGGGGTTGACTCTTGATGATGACGAAGGACGCTTTTACAATCTGCTGTGCAGAATTCTGCCTAAAGAGATCAAGTGTAGACAGAATCGGGTGGTATGTGCTCTCATTCCTTCTGTTCGAATCAGGTTCCGACTGCTGAGTTTAATTTCTGAGCCTTTACCCGGGAGGTTTAACTAAGGCGCAGCTCTTGTACGTTTAGGAAGACACCAGCATCCTTCAGGTTCATGGACAGGCAGTGCTACTAGCCATAATCATTTTTAAGCATCTCAATCCAGCATATATGTGAAGAGACCATCTACTCTGTGGTAAAATTTTGTTTCCATTTTGGGAGAAATAATTTGGGTTTATTTTCTCGTGGTCCTCGTCAACCGTGGGCAGTCCCGTCTTCAGTTTTAATCCATGGCTGACAAGGGCCCCATCTGGCTAAGCACGTCCCCAGCCGCCCTGGCCTTTCCAGCACCTGCTAAGATGGCATTGCGTTCCTGTGAGCGCTGCGGCTTAGAGGCCTCTCTCTGCTGCTGCAGAGACTTGGCAGGTGACAGAGAGCTAGACCCGCTGGTCTCCTCCCTCGTCCTGAAATAGCCAGAGAAGGTCAGGGTTGGAAGAAGCAGCGCCGTAAGAAAAACAAGTAGGAACCCGAAGGAAAAAACTCTCTGCTGTTTGTTCCATCGAAGTCTCTTCTGAATTAAATTCCAAATTCCGAGTTCATTCTCCACGTAGCAGTGCAGATACAAAGCATAAGTCACGTCCTGTCATTCCTCTGCTCAGAAGTCTTCAGGGGTTTCTGTAGCACTTAGAGAAGCTCTCAGACTCCTCATCCAGGCTACAGCCTTCTGTGACCTGGCTCGTGACGCCTGCCTCTCCCCTCTCGCCTGCCACGTCTGCTTGCTCGTTCTCGGTCCATGCCAGAGGTCACAGCTACCGCAGGGCCTTTGCACTTGCTGTTTCAACCTCTTCCTGGAAATACACTTCCTCCACATCTAAGCATGGCTGGCTCTTTTTGTCATTCGGGGCTCAGCTCAAATGCCACCTCTGTCTAATGATGTCCCCCAACTCAAGTCACTCTGTATTCCAGTACCTAATTTTATGTCTTGCATTGTGATGACTACTATTGGATATTATGTGTTTGCTTGCTCATTTTTCCTGTTCATTATGTTTCTTCCCCGACTGAGATGTAAGCTTCTTGAGGGCAGGTGTCTGTCATATACTATCATCATCTCTCCAGAGCCTAGAGCACTAACTTTAGTTGGTTCTTAAAGTGTTTGCATTGAGCAAGTAAAGTTATATGTCATTTTACTGTAAGATTTTGAAGTCCTGCATAAAATAAAACTTTTCCTAAATTATCTCTTGAGCTGGAAGGAAAGCCTAAAGCCTCTGTATTGGAACATACAGGTTATTGTGTAGCTTGCAGTCGATACACGTGCCCTTGGCTGAACCTCAGTTCCTTCAGCTGTAAAGTGAGGGATTTGTTTAGATGACCTCATAGGCTTACTTTGGCTTTGGGATTTCAAGTCACGTGATTGTCACGTGAAGAGAAATTAACCCTGCCTCTCCATTTTCCACAAGGCAACACTGACAAATGAATTTCAGAATAACCCTTATCTTTTCTTGTCTGGATCTCTTGGAGTTTGAAAGAAGATTAAGTGCCCAGGTTCAGGAAAGGGAAAAATGGTAATTACTCTTCCCTTCGAAAATGGCGAGTGAATAATTTGGGAATGAACGAAGCATGCCAGAACATCCAAAAATAGATAAATACTCGAGATTACAACTCCCCAAATATTTGCAGTTGTGACTAATGACTGACTGTTCTCTGCTCGTGAAGTACCTAGAGGTTTATCTTTTTGCTGATTCTGTAGGAATTTTGATCCCCTCAGTCATGTGCCACCAGGAAGTAGAAAGCAGAATCAGGGGCGAAAACTGCCTCGTGCGCGTGATGCGAGCCAGGGAGCCGACGGTCCCTTACTGCGCTCTGCAGGCCTCACCCCCTCCCGTTTTGGTTGAGTCCGAAACGGGTGAAGCGCATCCAGCGATGAGAGCAGCACCCGACCTGTGTGGTGTGCTGCAGGAGATCGTTGCCC